AGGATCACATTACGCTGTTCTCCAGAGCTCTCCATCAGCCCCTGTCCCCCTCAGGGCTCATGTAGTCCTCCCCCCACCCCAGGAACCAATGCCAAATTGCCCCCTCAAGTCTCTTCTCCAAGGCTTTGGGTAATCTAGTTTTAAATGTGAGCTCCCCCTTTCCCTGGAGACTTTTCTGCAGCACCAGAACCTCCTACTCAGCCAGCACCTCAGAAACATCAGCCAGCCTAAGCAATGATGTAGGAGTCACCTCTCCCAGCACCAAAATGCAGCCACCTCTGGAGTGAAGCACAGCAGATGCACCAGGTACCACTGAGTTCCCATTATTCCATCTCTGACGTAAGCCAGAGGTTCTTGGAGGTCTCCCACCCACACAGTGACATGGCCCAGCCCTGCTCAGCTAGCAAAACTGGCTCAGGTGCCAAACCACAGTTTTCTAGCAGCAGAATGCTACCCAGGGGCTCCTCCCACCCCGGTGTCCTGCTGTAGCCCCAGCTCACCTCATCATCAGCCTGCAGGTACTGCCTGGCAAACTCCAACATTTTCTTCTGCATGGCTGTCTGGTTGTGATACTGGAGTGCTTCCTGGAGAGAGGATGGATAAGGACACCATCAGCCCAATTCCTCCTGCTGCTGCCCATCCCCTAGGCAGCAACCAAACAGATAAGCTCCCATGCAGGGCTGGCATCTGCTTCATATGGAAAGGGCTAACGTAGCCAGAAGCTGTGCTGTATCTGTGCTGGGCAGGACTGCAACGTCTCAGAACCAAAGGCCATGAAGCAAAAGCAACTACATTTGCAGCTATTATTGTTCAGCACTCCTTAAATCAGCCTGTACACTGCAACTCCCTTACAGCTGGGACTGGAGAGGGTGCCCCTCACAGTGTATTAGAGCAGTTCAAAGCTCCCCATCCCAGGAACTGAAATCACTCCTGCCCAGGTCTCCCCATGCCACACCAGGCTGGGAGTCAGAGTAGGGTGAAAGAGGAGGACATGATGTCTCCCAGAAGCCCATGGGCTAAGCTCAGAGGGGCTCAAGAGGCAGCCATCAGACTGTGCAAATTAGTTCACCATCCCTCTGGCAACCCTAGCCCCATAAGCCACTCACCAGGCGGGGGTTAAAGTCCTCCTCCTCCAGATGCCAGCGCTCCCGGTAGAAGCGGTAATAAACCAGGTTCTGCTGCATCACCTCGTCACCAGGGTCAAAGAGCATGTAGCTGGAGACACTCTGCACTGCATTCTTCACATCATTCACTGCACAGAAAGGAGGGAGGGGTGGGGGCATAAGCCAGAGACAGAGGCATGCCCCACTCCATGGGGGCCACACACATGATACAGAGACATGCCCCCTGGCACAAGGCTGGGCACAGGGAGCATGGAGAGAAGATACTCCGTAGACAAACAGGAGTTGAGCAGGCAGGGACATGGTATGCAGAAACATTTCCCCCTTGGCCCAGCAGCCAGACATGGGGGAATGTGACTGGGGGGCAGAGAACAGAGAAATATCCCTCTCCTCCCTTTACAAGAGGACTGTGTGATGAGAAGCCCGCCCTCCACCAGGCCTCGCCAATCCTCCCATCCTATGCAAGGGGCCGTGTTGTGAGAAGTCCCCAAAATCATAGAACTGACAGGTCAGAGGGGAAGGAGGTCTCAACAGGAATGGAGATTCTGAGATGTCCAAGTGCTGGCTACAGACAAAGGGGAGATACAGGCAAGGAAACATTTGGGAAAAAGGTGGAGGGGTTGTCACTCTCCCCTCCCCAACACACCCTGTGAGCAGCAGTCCCAGAAGCAAGCACAGCGACTTACTTACACTTATAATATGCAAATTGCAGGTAGTGGTACATGGTAGCCACAAATTTCTCCACGAAGTAGCCACCCACATTGGGAGTCAGGTCAGTCTCACAGTCCACCTGGCACTGCAGGACAGCCACATAGTGGTCTAGGAAGAGATGCCCATCAGCACATTCTGGCTAAGCTGAAGCCCATCTCCCACAGTGGCCATTACAGGATGCTTCAGGGGGTAAGCCCTTGTTCCCCCATCAGCTGCTAGTTAGAGGATAACCTGTTCCTGGGGTGGCTTCCCTATGCTCCTGTTATGCACAGAGTGATTTATTCCAAATGGCAAAGGGTTCTGCTTTCTGGCAGGTCTCTGAGGGTTCTGGGGCATGAAGGGTTTATCCTTTCCATATGTCTTTCTTGCTGTTCCCGCTGGCAAGAAGTGCAGCCTCCAACTCCATCATTTGACCAAAGATAGCAAAGGTACTAGGCCCTGAAATAGCCTGCTCTGTACAACCTTGAACTAGATGCAGCCCAGATAGAAGGAAATCAAGTCCCAGCCTCCCACACAGCAGCCCCCCACTCAGCCCTGACACGGAGGAGAGGTAGTCTCTGTGGACAGACAGGGTCTCCCCTCCATAGCCCTGACAGTCTTTGGTTTACATGAAAAGGCTGATACCAAAGAGATTGGCTAGCCACTGATAATCTGTGCACTACAAACAACCAGTCCATAAGGAAGTCATTGCTAGTGATCGTTTCGTGCCAGACATGGAGTCACCTTTTGCTGAGACCCACAGGCAAAGGCTCTGCACCCACACGTCTGTCCTAAAATGAAGAGGTCACCTGGCTCAGGGGAAACCCAACCTCTGACCTTTCCCCTCCTGGCTGCCATTGCTCCGAGACCCTGAACCCCACCATAGGCTAGGAGAAGGCCCCACACTCACCTGCGATGGCTGGGTAGAAGTCCTTGAACTCCTCCAGTTCATAGGTGCTGTCACAGCTTGCCAGGCAGTTCTCATAGGCCTTGTAGTACTCCACCAGTGCTTGCTCCATGTCAGTGACACTGCTCCGGAAATCCCCACTGTTATACAGCTTTACTGACCGCACAAACACTGTCTGCAAGGGAGCAGCAGACCTCACTCACTGGTCTTCTCCAAGACATAGTCATGCATGGTAACAGGATGGGATTCACTCAGTCATTCCTGCCCCACACAGGATGGCTGGGTGGAATTCAGCCCTATGCAAAGGACTCCACACCAGTCTCCCAACACCTTCCCATGAACATTTTCAGTAAACTAATGCCTGTGATTGAAGCTGTCATCTCAGGCACGTGCTGATCCCTCTGCCTAGGCTCAGTCCACATAAAGCCCAATCTTGTTCTCGATATAAAACTAAATCATCATCATCTCTGGACACCAGCTGTCTGGACACTATTAACTTATGTCACAATACCAGCCAGAAGGGGACAGAACAGACCCAGTTAATCCTGGTCTAAAAAGACAGACAGCTCCCTTTAAGCGCCCTCTGGTGACAGCCACATGTACTTGTGCCAAAGCCAAATCCAGCTCTGATATTAGCATGTGACGGTGATGACATCACCACCTACTTTCTGGGGGGGTTTCCGGAGATTTTCCCAACTCCTTCCAGAGTTCCAGAATTGTGCATTTCTTTCCATCAGCTGCAAGATGCTCCCAGCCTTGGAACAGCAAATACAAGGAAGCCCCAGGCCAGGGAAGAGGGGTTTGGCCTTTGACTAATATTTGCCTTTAGACAGTATCTATTTCTAGCTCAGCTCTTATCAGCTAACACTGGTATAACTTCAGATAGCAAACACACCGGGCATTTATACACATACTTGTTGGTCCTGTGACATGCCAAAGGTTCGCCGCTTCAGAGCAGACTCGATTAATTGAATCTGCTCTGCATGTGAGCTGACGCATACTGCGCTGCATCGCGTGCAGTTGTATAAGTGACAAAATTGAAATCAGCTTGCAGAAAATGGCAGCGGTGCACTTTTGAACTAAAGCACCTTCTACGTGTTTTAGTTCAAAAGCGCACCACCATTTTCTCAGCGCTGATGCACATTTTGCTGCTTATCCAACTGCAAGCATCGCAGCACCGGGCACTTTTCAAAGTGCCCAATGCTGCGGCACTTACATATGTAAAAACGCCCCTAGTTTCCTCTCTGTCCTGACGGAGCAGGGAGCTCTGCAGTTAGAATAGCTGCAACTTGCCATTTCTGTCAGGCTCCATGACCTTGGAGCCTGCCATGTCCAGCAAAGAGCAGCCAGACCAATCTAAGAGGGGATGCTGTGCAAAACAGCCCCTCCTGCTGCTTCAGATCAATTGCCTCCTCCAAGCATCCTGTAAGAAGCAAAGCAGGAAGCCCATGCAGAGGGCAGAAAGGAAAGAAATAGCCCTTGAAATAACTTGTTTTGACAGGGACCACAGCCAGGAATGATGCAGGGAGAAGATGCCAAAGTTTCCTGCCCAGACCATCAAAATTATCCCCAATCTGAACATGCAGCCCTCTGTTATGCCAGCTACAGGCACCCTATAGACCTTTGTATTAAGCTAAAATCATTTTAGCTTGCATTATAGTAGCTTTATAGCTGGGTGTTAGCTATCTTAACTCTAAGTTAGACCACATTAGCATAATGCATAAGAAGTAGCATAAAAAAAACTGAGTCATAGGCAACAGAAATGTCTTGAAAATACTTGCCAATCTTGATTACAAGGTCAGGTCAATGTGTTCTAGCTTGACCAACACAATGACATGAGAGCGTCTCCTTTCTGATCACACTCGTCAAAGTTTCTACCACATAATATTATACATCTTTGTTTGAGGAGGGGAATAAAAAGGGGCTCAATGCTCTGAGTCGTGTTCCTCTGGCCTTCTTCGCTGAGGTTCCCTTCTGCAGACATAACGAAAATCCAACACTTCTTAGAACTTAGTCTCTAGATTTGAGTAAGATCTTCCTAATAGGCTGACCACCTATCTGAAATTCTTGGAATCTCTACATCTTATAATCCTAAATTTTAAGACTTGTTTATTCCTGCTTGGATCATAAAAATAGTCTAAATATGAACTATTTTATTCTTTAGTTGCTACCAATATTTGTAATTGGAGAATCCTAATACAATTTGCTTTTGTGTTCAGTGCAATGAAGGATTCATTTTGCAGGACAAAAGGGACTGTCAAAAAAACCCTCAGATGCCCAATCTACTCTAAGGATCACCAACCCAGGCCTGACTCACATTTCCCCTGCTGTTTCAGTCCTGGGCTCCCCTATGTGCATAGCTCTGCTGACAAGAGCTGCTCAGGAATTTTTCAATGAAACGTTGGGAGGCACTTAGATACTCTGAAACAGCCATTATCTCAGTTCACAAGGGAAACCCAGATTTACCTCTCTACTCCACTCGACTCAGAGCAGAGACTTGGATCTATGTATCCTTCATTCCTAGTGAGTACCAACAGTATTTGGTTATCCTGGGTATGTCATGAACAATTTTGGAAGGTCAGCTTTCTGCTTAAACCTCAAAAGTTTTGATGCAATGGAACTCTCATTCTCTAAAGGTTCGCTCTCTCTCTCAATCCTGAGGTTTCCAAGAACCTCCAGCTTCAGGCCCCAGCAGAGGGATGCCACTGTTCCTTCTGGGACTTAAAGCCAGAGGTTCCTGATTAGAGGGTCTTGCCCTTCCACTCAGGGTCAGATTGGTCGCCATATTTGGGGTCAGGAAGGAATTTTACCCTATAGTCAAACTGGTACAGACTCTGGCAGGTTTTTGCCTTCCTCTCTAGTGGGGCCATGGCCCTCTACCTGCTATCTCTTGAGTGTATCTTAATAACCTTTACTGAAGGAGGTTAGCTGCTATTGTTCGGCTGCTTTACCTGTGGTAGGTTAGGGTGTTATGTCCTGTGTTGTGTCAGGGCTGATGGTAGCTTTACAAAGAGGCTGGATTATGGATTTGTATAGGATGGTTTGGATAGGGCTGGTCCTGCCTCAGGCAGGGGGGGGTCGAACTAGATGACCTCTGAAAGACCCTTCCACCCCTACTTCTCTATGATTCGGGTGACCATATGCCTACATTTGGTGAAGACCTTGTGAGGAAACACCTTGAGAGGCTGGACATCCATAAGTCGCTGGGCCTTGATGGAATGCATGCAAGAGTGCTAAAAGAGTTGGCCGACATTATAACTCGACCATTGGCGTGGATATTTGAGAACTTATGGCACTCAGGAGAGGTTCCTGAAGACTGGAAGAAGGCCAATGTGGTACCTATCTACAAGAAAGGGAGGAAGGAAGATCCAGGGAACTACAGGCCAACCAGTTTGACCTCAATCTTTGGGAAGATCTTAGAAAAAATTATCAAAGACTCCATCAACAACAGGCTGACAGAAGGCGCCATTCTGAGAGACAGCCAACACGGCTCATTTCAGGTAGGTCGTGCCTGACCAACTTCATCTCCTATGACCACAGGATATGTCACCTGGACAGGGGGTAGAGCTTGATGTCATTTACTTAGGTTTCAAAAAAGCCTTTGACTTGGTCCCCTATGATGTCTTCATGGCAAAACTGGGGAACTGCAGCCTCAACAACCTTATGGTCCAATGGCTCGGAAACTAGATCCAAGGTTGGACCCAGAGAGTGATTGTTGATAGAACCGAGTCAACATGGTATATGATGACCCTCAGGGATCAGTACTTGGACCAATACTCTTTAATATATTCACCAACGACTTGGATTCAGGTGTCAAAAATTAACTGGCCAAGTTCACGGATGATACCAAACTGTGGGGACACACTGGAGGATAGGCTGGGGATTCAGGCCGACCTGGACAGGCTTGCAAGGTGAGCAGATAAAAACTGGTGACCTTCAACATAGAGAAATGCAATGTTCTCCACCTCGGGAGGAAATCCCCACATCGTACCTATAGCCTTGGCAGTGGTTCACTCACTAGCATTGTCTGAGACTTGGAGGTCGTGACTGACCACAAGACAAATATGAGTGTCGTAGGGCACTAAGGCGCCTGCTCCTTTAAGGGCAGAAACTGCCTAGGGAGAGGGCCCTAGCAGTCAGGCAGGAACCCCACACCTGCAGGTTACTGTGGCAGCAGGCTAATGAGGGAATCAGCCTGCATCTGCAGCCGGTCAGCTGACTGGAAGAGACAGGGCCCTGGGCACATATAAACCCCAGGGCTGGGACTAGAGGGTCAGCTCTCTGCCAGCAGCCAACAGGGAAGAAGCTGTCTTAGAGGAAGCTAAGTGGAGATGCTTGACTGCCTGTTTTATTTCTGGTAGGATTAAGGGGCTCCAGGAGCTCACCAGGGACCCTTGCCTACAAGGAATTTAGTGCAAGAGGGGAGGTTTAACTCTTTTAAAAGGACCGAGCACACCCTGAACTGCTTGCATTATGTTATAGCCCAGGGGCTTATATTTTGATTTCTGTTTGTAAACTGGTGGATTGGGCTGCGGCCAGTGTGGGCACCGTGACCAGGGGTGAGCAGACCCCAGCGCCAATGTGGGCGCAGTTAATGAGGCCAGACTAAGCTGAGGCCTCAACACAAGGAGACAACATTTACATAGCATCTGCGAGGCCTGGGGCAGTTTTCGAGTCACGTATCTAGCCCATAAAGCTGGAGGGTATCATAAGACACCCCCTAAATGTGAGGCCCAATAAAGGGGTCCAGCAACCAACAGGGTTCAAGGGAGACTATCAGGACTGTGACCAAGGAGCAACTCAAGGGCAGCCTCCCAATCCATCATTTATAACATCAAGACATAGCAGGCGAGATTAGTAGGCACCCATAGGGCAGAGCCAGCATGGTCATGGTGCCCTAGGGACATCACGGCCATCCCAGGGGTGGCCGTATTATGACAATGAGCCACCAGTGTGATGCCACAACTGGCAAAGCAAATAAAACCCTGGCCTGCATCTACTGATGCATCTCAAACAAGACCCAAGAAGATACTCTCCCACCTTATTTGGCCTTAGTGAGGCTGTAGCTGGCTCCACACTTTAAAAAGGACATGGAGAAGCTCAAGAGTGTTCAGAGGAGAGCCACGTGTATAATCAGAGGTCAAGAGAGGAGGCCACATGAGAAGAGGCTGATGGGACTCTTCAGCCTGGAAAAGAAAAGGCTCAGGGGGATTTAGTGGCTCCCTATAACTATATCAGGGGTGTTCATCAGGACCCAGGAGAGCATCAGTTCACCAGGGCTCCTGCAGGGAAAACAAGGTCTAACTGTCACAAACTGCTGGAAGCCAGTTTTAGACTGGACATAAGGAAAAACTTCTTTACAGTCTGAGTATGCAGAGTCTGGAACAGACTTCCCCAAAAAGTGGTACAAGCACCTACTCTGGACACATTCAAGATGCGCTTGGATGATTATCTTGCTGGAGTCCTATGACCCCAGCTGACTTCCTGCCCCTGGGGCAGGGGGCTGGACCAGATGATGTTATGAGGTCCCTTCCAGCCCTAATGTCTATAAAATCTATGAAATTCTCCACCCAACTAAATGGCAGTGCCCTCGATCCTGACCTGCAGCCTTACTGCCCCAGGCATCCCACCAACCTCCTCCCACTTCAGCCCCTGAGGCTCACTCACTTCATATGGCTGGGCCTCCAAGTCCACAAGATACTCATCCACGTCCACCATCGTCTTGTAATAGTTCAGGTACTTTAAGGTCATCTCATGTTTGGGATTCTTCTGAAGAAAGGTGTGGGCAGCAGACACCGCCTTCTCAATCTTATTGTCCTGAAAGAGAGAAACCTGAGTCAGCTGCCACAGAGAGCCACTGTCCTGCTGCTACAGGAACATGGCTAGCTACAAGTTTGCAGAGGTCACCCAAACCCAAAAATGTCCCTGCCCCTGCAACCAAGTCATTAATCCCGAGTCATCCCAATGCATTCATACCCTCTAGGCTTGCTGCAGACACACCTATACAAGGCTCTGCTTTTCTGCTCTCAAAAGTCACAGTCTCAGGCCCTGCCGGAAAAGTCTTTAGGATTCTTAGGCCTTGTCTACATGTAACAGTTGGAGCAATCAACTGACACAAGTATCATTAATACAGTACCAACCCCCAAAATGCAGAAGCAGTCAGATCAATACTAACCCAGCTGATTCCCCTTCCCATGCAGGAGAAGTAACCACAAGACAAGGGCCTTTATCCCAGGGAACTGTGACCGCAGGAGTGTGTGGGGTGCAACATTTTATGAATATGCACAAGGAGACAAGAGCTGCTTGGTGAAGACACATGGCCACCAGAATGTATGGAACTGCCCTGGTGGGAGAGAAATCTCAACAGGACATGGCATGCAGCTGCCTGAGAAGGCTTACGGAGTTTGATAGCAAACCTGTCACAGGTCACAGAGACCCATGGACACTCAAGACCCCTTGAAGTCAACATTAAAATCACTGCATCCTGCTCCTACTCAGCCAAAACCACTCCTTTCACACCTCTCTCCCACGGCTGGGTCCCCACCTGAGAAGCTTCCCTTGCCATTAAGCTCAAGGGTCTGCAGATTCTGCCTCTCCCACAGATGGTGAACTGAGGTTCAGAGCTGTAGAGGCAAGCTTTCCAAAGAGCTCAGTACACAAGCTGCAAACACCGTTCACTCTTCTGAGAAAATGGACTAAGCCACTCGTGGTTTACCCCACAGGAATCCCCAGAATCTGTAGCAAAGCCAGGATTTGAACTTAGAGTGTGCGAGTCCCAAGTCAGCACATCCACAATTATACCCTCTGCCCTGCCCTCCTTTAAGACCCAAATGTGAGGTCCCAAGATCATACAGGCCCTTGAAACCAGCTCATGTTGCCCACTATATAGATACTGCACCCTCACTAATGCAACCAGCAGGGCTCCACAGCCATCCCCTGGCCAGAAAGCTGCAAAAGGATTCCCCAGGAATGTATGCATTCCTGAGTTATATGATTTCAAGATAAAAAATACTAGGGCTGTGAGAAACTTTGGCCGCCATTTCATTTTGGAATTAAATGAAACACTGAATCTGAAACACTGAATCTGAAATTTCATAGATTTCATAGACATTAGGGCTGGAAGGGACCTCGGAAGATCATCGAGTCCAGCCCCCTGCCCCAGGGGCAGGAAATGAAATGGAAGGCTCTGAAACATCTCCAAAATGAAACAAAATCATCTGAAACGTTTTGGAATGTTTCGGAGGTGGGTTTGCAGGGAAACAAAAACTCAGAAGAGGAAGGGGGAAGGGCTGCTCTGATATTGATCTGTAAGGGGCCAGTGTCTGCAGTCTGTCCCTGAGGTCCTTTCCAATCCCAGTGCTCTGGGGGAGGGACAGCAGCCTGCTGTCATCCCGCACACAAATCCAGGGCCCACACTCCCCCGGGAGAAGTCTGGCACAAGACTGCAGCCG